ATTACAGATCTGATTTGAAAGCATGCATTTTGGTTTCCATTTTTTAACCCCTCTGTGTGGAGCCAACTTCTTATCAACAAAGGAAATGAAACATGTGTGTGATTGTTGTGATTTAATGTCAGTGGCGTCAGTGAGCAGACTATAATACTGGTGGCTGGTTGAAGGCCGTCCTTTGGACCCCAGTAAACATCCCACTACAACCCTCCATCTGTAGTCTCCAATGTGATTTTTTCTAAAGCCCAGCATAATTACTCCAAACACTTTTCTTGGACAGTAAAATAATTTCATGTAGTTTAGTGGTTGAGCTGTAAGTTTACGCATTCACGGACATGACTAATGGTTTTCTCCGCAGCGTGTGGAGTCGTGTAATTGTTTTGCATGCTCAAATTTGCTCCAACATGCTCACTTGCATGTTAAACAAAGTGGCTTTTAACCTCAACAAAAAGAAACATTCATGTGAGCATACATGCGTAAGTCATACAGTGAAGAATTCGCCAACTGTTCTAAGATGAATGAGAACTACAACCACAGGAAGAGATGACCAGGAATCCAGAATGACGCCATTTGTTATCATCTATAGTTTTGTTTTTTCATCTCTATACGCTCCGTGAGTGCTGTGGTATATTGTTTTTACAAAAGAAAGGCGTTGTATTTTCCATTTGTACTTGTGACAGTTTTCACAAAAATCATGTTGACAAGCAAAGTTTTCTTCCCCTGGAATAGATTCTGCCCAGCTGGCTGAGTTTTAAGCGGGTGACCTCTTTAAAGTCAAGGCCAGTGCTGCCCCCAGTCGAGTCTTTTCTACCGCATTCAACATTTAATACTGGTTCTCCTCTTGTAAGTCAGTCTTTGATGTTTGTGAAGAGTCCATGTAAATGTCATGTATTCCAGCAAGAGTCTGCCCTGAGTGCAGCTGGGACATAATCAAATGAAGGTTAAACTTTGGTAATTTACCTGTCACGCAGCCCCTTGGAAAACTAGTGTTTAATTTATCCTAATCTACTTGCAGTCACATCAGAAGATTACAGGTTTGATCCATTAATATTTCACACGTATTCAAAGAAAAATCCATTTTGCAGTGAGAGGCGTAAATGTTTGACTTTGCGTTGGCCGCTGCTTCCCAGAGAGCCAGGATTAAAGAGGCGCTAACAGAATAAAGGGATTCAGGATGCACATCGCCTCAGGCTGATCGCGTCACTTGCTAAAGAAGAAGAATATTTCACTCTTCTCGTGGACCAGACAGAATGAGCTTCCTCGAGGACTGGCGCTATGGCTGACTGCCGCTAACTCCGCTTCAAATAATCTCCAATAATATCAGCCTGGAAGCAGCGGTGGCAGATTTAGCATTTAGCCGCCCCCTTTCGCTCTGCTGCCGTTCTCGGGGCTCGTGATTGGCTGGGCCGGGAAACCACACCGCGGTGGCTCTGGTCCTTCGGCTAAAAGGGCACGCAGACAAAGAGGCAGAGCCGATTATCTGTGTCTCATCCAGAGGCAGCACACAGCAGACGTCCATTGTACAGCTTCAATGTGATGTTGGAGCCTTTCACAGGAGCCACAAAAGACTTGAGATTATTGAGATTTCCCTGATAGCATTGCCATTGTTACTGATATTAAGATATTGCAGGGAGTGTGAAATATCTGTGCAACCAACCTGCAAAACAAAGCAACTGTTTTTGAGTTACACTTTGCTGGGCTTGATAAAGACTTACTGATAAGGTCAAAACAGACTTGAGGTGCATTGACTGGTAGGAACTACTTTCTCTCCGTCACTTTTAAATGTTCCTTATCATGCAGGTTCACTGTTGCGTTGGTAAATGAGGTGCAGGATTCATCCAAACCACAGAAAGCAACACCTGAAGCCACACGAGAGACTGTTTGATGTTAACAGAGGAGTCCTGTCTTCCTTTTTATTAGCTGAATAAACGATTCTTTAACTGTTTCACACCTCTTTTTTAGCGAACTGAAACATGTTTTACACCAAATTAATTACAAGTAAAGTAGCACTTAAAAGCAGGAAATGCAGCGTTTAATTCCAGACTCGGCCAATCAGTGCTGCTTTGATGAAACTGCATGTTGTTTAATAGAGATTTCAGTCGGGCGTCAGTGCTTTTATCACTTTTTCGCATTACCTCCTTGCTCGACATGTTTGATCTGTATTAATTACCTCTTCTTCTTCTCTTTTATTTTGTTTTTAACTATAACGTCTATGTGCCATAGCACGTACAAGACTCTTCACAAAAACCTATGAAAGCACATCGAGCGATGCTATGAATGGCTGTAATGAAACATACAATGAATTAATCAAAGACATTGTTATTTTAAACCTTGTAAGGGACCTTCACTGTAATTCCAGGCTTTATAAAAAAGAAATAAACATTTGTACTTTTCCAATTCAGTGCAGGTCACTGTCACCGATGTGTTGCCGCTTTGAAATTGGTTCTCTTTCATTGTTAAAAAAAGAAATAAAATTACAATAACAGTGCCTAGAGTGACTGAGATAACACGGTTTAGCGACACCGTCATGGCAAAGGGCCATGCTCTCCTTTCGTCACATAAAACGGAAATTATTTCAGCTGGTTTGATCTTCCTCTATTTACATAATTTCAGTGTGGTTGAGCAGCACGGGTGGGCACTTATCATTGATACCGCATTGTGTATTATTCTAATAATTAAAGGCAATAGTCGCCCGGTGAGCACGCTTCATTTGGCATGATTGAATGATTGGCACTTTCCGAGCTAATATGGTTTTGGGTGAGTACATAGACACTGTAAAGAGAGCAATGATGTCAGGGCCACGTCGCAGACTCTGCCCATTACAGAGTGACTCATTTCCCATTAGCGAGGCCTGATTCCACATGGCTTCCTTCTTGCATAACGCCCCGGCTCACGTCTGTGCCGCCACGCCACTCCGACTGACACCTCTTAACCAAACACACCGAATGGAATAGACATAAACCCTCACTCCTCATCAGCATTCAGAAGGAAAACCCGGGCATCACCCTGGCCCTGCTTTTCATGTAGGACAACAAAGACACCATTTGTACGCATCTAAAATGGTTGCTTAAGAAGAAATAGGATTGCACATCAGAGCAAATCGCTCCCTGCGAGCTGTAACGGTGATTTGGTGAAGGAAGGAGCTGAACTAGCTATTTTAGTTTGTTGCACGTGATGTGGTCTGTAATTTCAGGCCATTTGAATGTTGAATTACACAGCGCTCATCACTGTCTGTGTAGAGAGAAAAAAAGGCTCTAATCTTGTCTTTCTTGCACACAAGTGTGACATTTTAGGTGAATGATCAAGTATAATATATTCACCGGTGTTTAGAGGTTAATTTATTTTTTTATGTCACTACCATTATTTTGTGTTTGTGTTTAATTCTCCATATTACTATAATGAAATGTTTTTTTTTCATCATCTTTCAGTATCTACAAAAGCACTTCATGAAAAAAAGTGCTATGATAATAATTATAAGAATTTGGAAGCTATGTTTATTAATGTTATGTTTATTAATTAGATTCATATTTTCCATATGAAATGTGTATTATCAGCCTTTATTATGCGCATTAATATAGTTTAAAGTACCTAACTTCACATAAAGTAGTTACTAACTTAATCTTGACCACCTACAGCGTCAGAATCCTGCTGACACACAACATGCAGTAATCCAATTGTCTTACAGCATAATGTGACTTTCTAAAAAAAAAAGGCCTATTCTGTATTTTTGAATAAACCCCCTTAAAAATGTGCTTCTTAGGCTCTCTTTAGAATAGCATATTGTGTATTCTTGATTCAATAACACAATCAAGGTGAAACACCCCAAAAACTTCTTTCATTAGGATTGTGTTGGCGTAGTTAGAAGAATAGAAATCGCTCATGTGGAGGAAACTGTTCACATGGGACTCCAGATTAAGGCCTTTAACTTTTAAATAAAGCTACAAGAGATGTAACATTGTGAAATAAAAGATCTCATTACTTCTTCCACCATTAAATAAGTACATTATTTTAAATATGGTATCGTGGGATGCAAAGCTCAGACACAGCAGTGGTAATAGGAGAAGCCAAATCCCAAACTCGGAGCAGACTGGACAGCTGGTAAGAAAACAAAAGTACAGAACTTCTACATTCCAGCGAAGAATGAAATTCACAACCCAATAACAGGCACAATGAGGGATTTAGAGACCCATCTGCCTCGATGAGGGCCCACAGTGAGATGACACTTGTGTAGCTCTGGTATGGGGTCTGGTGCGAGCTGCTTCCTACACAGAATGAACAAGAGCGTTCTCTCATATCGGTTGGGACCTGCAAGCGCGAGGGATAAGTTTCAAGCTAAATGCCCAAAATGCAAAAAAAACTGTAGCAAGAGTTTGAGCGGGGCTTTTCCCTCCGCTCCGCTACGTGCCGTGAACAGCAGATCAGCATTGTGCCGTGCTCTCTTAGGACCTGCCCTGTTTCTACCTCTGAAAATAGCACAATAAGGCCTGCTTGAAATAGTCTTGTATCACATCCTGCTATACCTCAGTTTTATATGCCAGGAGGCGCATATGAGCAGCGGCACTGCTTAGAGCGTAGCGAAGGTTCAAATGATGGACAGGGCTGACAGGCGTAATGATGTGTAAATTACAAGCGGGTCGACATCACAATGTTCTCCCCGGTGGTGAAAGAGCAAACTCATTTCATAAACACAATGATCGCTAAAATATTCATAACAAACAAGAAAATGGGGTCAGGCTCCCTCCTCCTACCAGGCCATTACATTTCTTTTGTGCGCGTTAATTAAGTCAACAAATGACTTATAAGATCACAGTGCCACTATACTGCCTATAGGTTTGGTCTTTCACATGTGCTCAGACAAATTAGAGGTTTTGTACAACAAAGACAGGAATTATAATAGCATGCAGTGAGGACAATTTGTATTGAGACTGATAGTGTGCAGGGAGCAATGATAAAGTGCTGTAATAAAATACAAACAAAGCCAGCGAGACAGATCAGAGGAGACTTACAGCTCGGAGAGTTGGAGGTGCTGGAAGAGCTGCCATGACAAAGTGGTGAGAGGATTCTTTGACAAGTTTCTGTAGAGGAAAGAGAAAACAAAGGGAATGTTAGGTTTAATGATATTATGTGAATTATTTTATTTCTCCTGCTTGATGTCCTGTCCGCTCTGCTGTTCTATCATTTCATCACGTCTGCTTTTGATGTCCTTTAGTTTCCGAAACCCAACAGGAAAGCTTTTTGTCAGGTCAGTTTCACTTTTTCTTCTTCTCCTTTTAAGCAGAAATGAAATTTTCAGCCTCTTTGGGTCACTCTCTTTTCTTGTGATATACAGTTGCTAAAGAAAGCATTCATAGCTCTTCAATTTTTTTTCACTCTTTTGTTATGTTGTATTTTATTTTAAATTGATAAAATTGACCTTTTCCCCATCAATCTACACTCAATAACCCATGAAAAAATGGCATAATAAGTTTTTGGAAATGTATTCAAAATGAAAAACTGAAATCTCTCTGTTACAAAACCATTCAATACATTGTGGAAGCTCCTTCAGCAGCGACTACAGCTTTTGGGTCTTCTTGGGCAAGTCTTTACAGGCTTTTCACACCTAGATTTGGCCAGTTTGTCCCATTCTGTCATACCGGATGGAAAATGTGAGAACTGTCATCTCTAGGTCTCTGCACAGATGTTCTCTGGGGTTTAAGTGTGGGCTTTGACTGAATGACATAGTGGCAGTGGAAGACTTGTCTTTAGGTTACATCAGCGTTGTCTTGGCTGTGTGTTTCAGGTCGTTGTTGTTGTGAAGGTCAGCTGTCACCCCAGACTCAGGTCATGTAAGCTCTGGAGCTGCAATCATCTTCCCCTTAGTTGTGACCAGTCTCCTCATCTATACTGCATGATGCTGCCACCACCATGCTTCAATCTAGTAATGATATTAGCAGGTAATCAACAGTGACTGCTATTAATCACATGTAGTGCTTGGAGTTAGGCCCAAAGATTTAGTTTTTTCTCCTATTGACTCATAGAATTGTTCCCTTTATGTCCTCAGTATCCTCTAAATACCAGCTGGAAGTCCAAGTGAACGTTCATATATACACAGGTGTGAGCCCTTCTAAACTATGTTCAATTCTTTCATTGCAACACAGATAAACTCCAGTAAAGCTGTGCACATATCTCAAGGATAATTGAGCAAATGGAATTCACCTAACAACAATACAAAGTGGTACAGCAAAGTGTCTGAATATCTTACAAACAGATTTCATTTGGGCTTTTTTCCACAAAATTTGCACAAAAAAAAAAAAAATGTTGAAAACTTGTTTTTGCTTGTTATTCTGGGTTAATAAAAGTGCACTGGTGGGTAAAAGGACAATTTTAATCATTTAAAAGAAATGTGCAACACATGGAAAACATCAACGGGTCAAAATACTTTCTGAAAAAAAAAAAAGTATTTCTGCAAGTAAAGTCGCTAAATTAAATTTTAATGACATAAAATAAAACAAGCAAATTGCAAACTGGATACACAGGCCTGTATTAAGGACTGACAATAAGGAAAAGTACTATTGACAAAGAAAATGGAACAGGCCTGGCTGTGTGAAGCTTCAGGGCTCAGCCAACTCAATAAAAGAAAGTTGACCGCTTTCAAGTCAAATAATTCAATTGACTTAAGGAACCCCTCTGGCTCAGGAAGCCACTAAATTCAATAGAAAATAGCCAGAGACTTACAAGTGATTTGACCAGAACCTTGATTCAGTTTAAATATGAACATCAGGCATCTGTGTAAACGGTTATTAAATAACACTACATCTCTGTGAGAGCATTAACACAGCGTTTTGCCTTAAAGCATTGAGCAGTATCAAACCCCAGCAGTCCATGCAACCTCTGAGTAATTACATCATGAGAGAAAAATGAAAAAGGCACCGTTCTATCTGATCATCTGATACCACAGCTAACAGCATCTGTAAGAGCAGCAAGGAGTCATCTGTCCAGCCACACTAATTGAAATGACACATGATATAATGCTAAAACTTTTTTTTTTTTTTTTTTTTTTAAATGGAGGCAAAGGGACAATTGTCACAAATACAATAAAGAAAGAGAAAACAGGCAACATACCAAAATACGGGAAATATTAAAAACCCATATTATTTAGGTATGACAAAATCAGGATTTTAATATTTTAAGGGGGTGGTATAAGGCATAAGAAAAGGATAAGAATTTGTACAATATACTGAAATGCATCGTATATAAACTGTAGGTTTAACCAGCAATGAAATATTCTAAAAGGACAACATGGAAAAATGCATAGCTGCATAAAACAGCACCAAATATCCACTTATAGTCCGTGGCTTTACATTTTTTCATTTATCTAAATTACTGACTCAGTTCATAAACACACACACACACACACACACACACACACACACACACACACCATAGTAGGTTAATTTGTATGGAGGACCTATTAGATACTCCTGTAACCAGACGTGTCGCCATAGCAACAGGGAGCTAAGGATGTTGCAGGTCTGTCTTATTTCCTGTGATATCACACATGCACATGCAAACACACAATCACACACACATAAACACACACACTTACAAATCTCCCCCCCCAAAAAAATAAAAAGCCACAAAAGTACATCTGCATGAACACACACACACACACACACACACACACACACAGACTGGTTAAACATTGTCACCTTGAAATGTGTGCTGGTGTGAAGGCACCGGCTGCTCTGAATACAGGGAATGTGTGAGAATATGTAAAGATGCTGCATGAAATTTCACCTCCCAAAGAAAACCTGTGGTCCCAAAGGGATTGTATTATACGCTGAAAGAATACATTACAGGGAGCGAGAGAGAGGGAGAGAGAGAGTGAAAAGGTGGGCGAGCAAACAGCAGCTCATTAGGTGATGTAGAGCAGGGCCGCTCAACAGTTGCGTCAAATCACACAGCCCGAAATAGACACACATTTAGACCACAGGTCTCCAAATAGGCACGCAGCCAATACCAGACACACATCAGAATAAAGAGCTCAAAATATACGTCCATTAGACTCCAGAACTCCAAACAGACATGCAAAGATGCTGAACTTCAAAGACCCATTTCAGATCACAGGAGAGTGTTTTGTTGCTGATTTCATATCTAACAATCAAAATGAAAATACTTGAGCAGTTAGGTTTGACTTAACTTATAGTGAGTGGACAGATAATGAATGTCAGGAGAAACCNACACACACACACACACACACACACACACACAGACTGGTTAAACATTGTCACCTTGAAATGTGTGCTGGTGTGAAGGCACCGGCTGCTCTGAATACAGGGAATGTGTGAGAATATGTAAAGATGCTGCATGAAATTTCACCTCCCAAAGAAAACCTGTGGTCCCAAAGGGATTGTATTATACGCTGAAAGAATACATTACAGGGAGCGAGAGAGAGGGAGAGAGAGAGTGAAAAGGTGGGCGAGCAAACAGCAGCTCATTAGGTGATGTAGAGCAGGGCCGCTCAACAGTTGCGTCAAATCACACAGCCCGAAATAGACACACATTTAGACCACAGGTCTCCAAATAGGCACGCAGCCAATACCAGACACACATCAGAATAAAGAGCTCAAAATATACGTCCATTAGACTCCAGAACTCCAAACAGACATGCAAAGATGCTGAACTTCAAAGACCCATTTCAGATCACAGGAGAGTGTTTTGTTGCTGATTTCATATCTAACAATCAAAATGAAAATACTTGAGCAGTTAGGTTTGACGTAGCTTATAGTGAGTGGACAGATAATGAATGTCAGGAGAAACCCTTGCAAACCTTGGGGGCTACCTTGAGGACTCAATGCCCCTGGACTTTGGACCAAACAGGGTTCAAGCAGCAGGTTAGTGCAATGTTAGTCTTCAACAACAACGGTCCAGCAAACAAAGGCAAACAAAAGACTTTTCTTTTTTTTTGTCCAAATTAAACAAACTGGATACAATGTGCTAATTTGTTAGTTTCACTGGAGCATGTAGATGGATTTTGTATGGACAAAGCCAAGTCAACTGTTTCCCCCTGCATGCTCAGCTAAACTAACCAGCCTCTAGCTGCTGCAGCTGTATATTTACCTCTCAGCGAGAAATCACATAAAACCACTTTTCCCTAATTTGTTGAACTATTGCTTTCATTTCACAACTTCTACCTTCACCCTTCATACGCGGGTTTGATTAAGATGTAATTCACTTTAACAAATTTGCTCATGTGGCTAATAAATTGCATTTGTAAAAATAAACTTACTCTTACCGATGCGTCTTTCAATTAAGTGACAAATGTGTTTTAGTCGCTCTGCCCTCGAATACAGATAAGTAAAGAGGAAAGGAGACGAGACGAGTGTTTTCTCAGCACAGAGTGAGACCTCCTTCACGTCTCTGGCAGGAAGTGTTCTGTTTTCAAAGGTCATCCTTCGTATCTTGACAAGAAATGTCAGCTAAAATTGGATTGGGGGGGGTAAATGAATTAATAAATATATAAACAAATCAGCAAATAAGCCATCAAAGCAGAGGGAATGCCAAAAGACAGGGGGTGAGGAAGGCCAAGTGCTGCAGAGAGTAAAGGGGTGGGAGTGTACTATATACCACCAACCAACATACACAGACGGCTGACAAATCAAAGGAAATGCATAATGTGTTTTAGGAAGATGTGGGGCCACCAATAAGAGCGTCAAGACTCCTTGATTCTCTGATTCTCTACAAATGTACTGGAGGGAAGAACACCATTCTTCGAAATCCTAAAATGTATTCATTAATTTAGTGTTTTGATGATGGTGGGCTGCAAGGTGGATCGGTGGTTAGCACCGTCGCCTCACAGCTAGAAGGTCGCTGGTTCGCGTCCCGGTGAGGACACTCGGGATCTTTCTGTGTGGAGTTTGCATGTTCTCCCCATGTAGCGTGGGTTCTCTCCGGGTTCTCCAGCTTCCTCCCACACAGTCCAAAAACCTGTTGAGGTTAATTGGTGATTCTAAATTGTCCGTAGGTGTGAATGTGAGTGTGTTTGGTTGTCTGTCTCTAAGTGTAGCCCTGTGATAGACTGGTGACCTGTCCAGGG